GCCCGTTTCGGCAAAAATAACTACCACTGTCGTTGTTTCCACCGGTTGTAGCAAAAAAGACGTCTGGTTCCAGCATCTGGTGTGGTCGGTTGTAGCAACAAAAGTTGCTGGTTGTAGCTCCAACCCTGGCCGGCTCCTTCAATATCCGGCCGGCCACCACGTGACACAAGCCTCACCCTAGCCGCATCGGCCGGACTTGTTTGATTTACCATGCCATGTCGCCATGCATATCTCATCGGTCCAACATGCATATGCATCTGCAGCTGAACTAACCACAAAGAATGGGACAACTGAATTTGAAATGACAATTTGAAAAATCTGAGACAAAAATTTCAAAAAGTTTGACAGGGTGTGGCTAGATGTCACGAGGTGAGGTGACCGAGACGAAAGCTACTACGGTCTCCGATGGCCGGCGAGGCAGGGCCCACGCCACGTCGACCACCAGCCCACCTCGCGCCCCCAGTAATAAATGCAGTGTCTGCTGTCACCGCAGGAGGCCTTCCATCGTTGCATTTGATGTCTTTGTCACAGGAGCCCTCTAGATAGGCTTCCTGTTGCATTTGATGTCTTTGTCGCAGGAGCCCATCCATCATTGCGACGACTCGATGCCCTCGAATCCAACATCGTCCATCGACACATGAGGGTTGGCGATGCCGCCATCGACGACTCCGATTATCATCCCAAGGCCGCGAATGTAGGGTGAGTCGTCGGGCGACTCCCCCATGTGGTAGGGAGGCCGAGGAACGCCGACATCTGCGTGGTCTGCGGGTACCAGATGACGTTTGGAAAGGACCAGACGAATCCACCCCTCCCTCTGTCAACCGCGCAGAGAAGCCGTGGATGAAGGTCCAGTACGAGCGCCGCAGTCGCGGCTTGCCGAGGGTCGTCGTCATAGACAACATGAAGGACCGTGTCATGCTCTGTGAGCATCGGCACCCATGACTTGCAGTAGCAAAGTTAAGTAGAAACTGCTGGGGGCAAGGCTAAAACATGAGTGTTTGAATATATAAAATGGTAAAAAAAAACTCATGTAAGACGTCCCCAAAAAGGTTCTTCAC